GTGTTTCTTCACCCTTTAGTCATCATGTCAATACATTTCCTCCTCTCCCTGTGTTTTTCATTTTGTCCTTTTGCCATTTTACTCCTCTCCACTCTCCTGTTCCTTTGCCCACTTTTTTACTTCAGCCCCAGACTCCCTAATCCTATTTTCTGTAGGAAATGCCTTTTTCCACTTTTATATCCCACTTCTATTGTCAGAAATGGAAAGTAAACCTACTTTATTGATGTTTTCATGAGTTTACACTTACCTTTTAGTATCAGTTGTTGTTTTTATGATCCGAGAAGGAGACTGTTTTTCTTGTGGCTTCACTCGGGCGGCCATTTTGGGTCGTGTGTCTGTGTTTTTGTGTCAGTCCACAGTGGAAAAAATTAAAAGCCTTTGGTTTCAAATAGAACAGAAGGTAATTCATTATCATATGTGCATAAATGGGAGGAGTAAAGTGAAGAAATATTCAAACACTACATTTTTTTGGTATTATTTAATATTATGATATTTTCTGCAAAATATGGCAGGTGCTAATGGGCTTAAAATGTTAATAAAGACAAACCAAAAGGTAATTAATGGTTTTTGTTTTAAATGTACATTTCCAGGTGGCTATTAGTTGCTAAGCAGATACACAAACACACATGTAATAAATAAATATAGTTATGTATATTTAAATACATACATATATGACTTGTTGCTCATAGGTGACTAGAAGTGTATGGTGGTGTGTTTTTCTTCTGCCTCTTTTTTTTTTCTTTTGCAAGAGATCAGGACATTCCTTGAAAAAAAGAAAAGTAATTAAGACCCGACCAGCAGGTGGCAGTAATGCAACTTAACAGATGCCAGCTGGCAATTAAACAAAAAAAAGAAGAAATGAGTGGTGGAGGAAGTGCAGCCTCAGCTTCAGCAGCACCACCAGGCCTCAGAGGTATTGTAAGTTTTAAATCTCTACATAAAAACCCTTTGCCATTACATTAATTTTAAGATTCTTCAAATTTGTGGTTTATGTATCAATATAAGGTGTAATCAAAGTTGTGTCACAATAATGTTGGAGGGATTCAGACACAAAATTCTGTGCTACTGTGTTCCCAGAATGAGTCAGCACGACGTCTGCCTGTGCTGTTGTGAATGATCTCTGGCTAAAGCATTAAACTCATTGATCAGCAGTCATCAACAGGAGGGCGGCAGCCCCTGAGGGGGCCGTGAAGGTAAGTAAAGGGGGGGGTGTCATGAAATGTTTCTTTTTTATTAGGACCGTTTTCTTTTCTTTACATTTCTTTCACTCTCTTTTAACCCATTTTATTATGTTTAATCACAAACAAATCCAAAGAAGCTTCTAGAAAGCTCACTATTAGTGTGAGCCCTAGTTAGAAAATCACTAGTTCACTGCTTTGATTCCCAGTTTTTCTGTATGGAGTTTGGATATTCTCTACGTGTGAGCATGGGTTTCCTCCAGGTACTCATTTTTATCACCGTGGCTTAAGTAGTGACCATAAATGTAGCCTTGTCATTTCAAAAGTAGTTGTCAAGCCATGAAAGTGTGGGCTCTAAATGGACCAAAGGTGTAAATGCCTCTTCGTCTCCATATGCCACGGGCACTAAAAACAAAAATGTAAATTTATGAACCACTCTTTTTGTAGATAAATAGAGCGTTAATAATCTTAATCATAATAAGAGTTCCCTTTATGTCTATATATATATATATGTATATGGTGGTGAGGTCCTCGCTCTATTCTCTCTATATATATATGGTGGTGAGGTCCTCACTCTATTTTCTTCATCAGTCTTAATGTCCTTGGTCTGAAAAAAATGTTGAAGCACATCATTTAAACTGCAATTATAGCACCCCCTGCAGGGAAGAGAGGAGTTGCTACATGTTTACCAATTCCTCCTGCATATTCTACCTTCAAATTTATTAGTTCTTTTTATAGCATCCACATGAGATTCATCACTGTCAGGGATGTGATCACGCCGTGGTGATTTCCTTCTGTGAGTACGTAGCTCTCCAGATGAAGGAGTGTTGATTGTAAACATCTGTCTCCTTCAGTGGACCTGTGTGGGACACTAATGCCACACTTTGATTTTATTAATAGAGAGACACAGAGACAGGATCAGTGGTGGGAGATAAACATGATGAGATTCTATTAATTATATGATTGCTTTCATTAACCATCATTAAAGGCGGATCAATAATGCCAGACAGGAATTAAAATAAGGCCCATACATTCTGCACTATTTTACAAGGAACAATCAAACAGGCTCATATAGTCAGCCCTTGAACGCTGTTGCCATGGGAACCCATGAGATGGATTGGTTTTGCTTGGGGGAATTTAAAAGAGCTTCCAAGGATTTCCACATACGCTACATCCTTCAACGTCGCCAATATTTGACCAACTAATTACAAAATGTACCGATACTTCTTTAAAATGAAAAGAGGCCGCTGGAAAAAAAAAACACAAAACAAAAAGGAAATTATGTCTCAATGCATTAATAAAAAACCAAAAAATATCTCTCATCCCATATTCCTGCAGCCACAGAGCATCAATTATTCACTAAACTAGTAGAGAATCCATAAAAGTGGGTCGTGACTGCAGCGTAGCAACAAATTGAATTTGAATATTTAAACCCCTACAAAAGAATATGCAGCATTTCTGCTGAGTTTGCTCTAAAGGTGGAGGGAAAGACTGCAGTGGCACCTGAGTCAACACACAGGGGGAGATAGTGGAGGAGCAGAGGCTGCTGCTCCTCAGAGAGTGATTGTGGGGATAACGCTCGGTGAACCTGAATGCTCCTGGCAGCAGTCAGGGAGGAAGAGCCCGCGCTCAGGGCGTGATAAAGGCGAGGGGGTGCAGATGTATGTGACCTGGGAAAGATGTGATAAAAACCTGTGTGGACCTGGAGCCATATACAAGGCAGAAAGGCCTGGGTGACATATTCTGGACGCATGGCGTTGGTAGCAGAGTTGTAATGTGAAATACCACATCATTTACAACATTCTCTGCCGCCTGGGTCACAGCGGGTAGGAAAAAAAAAAACGACGTGTTCATCATTTGTTACAGTGGATCCACGGAGAGTTGGGAATCATTCGTTGGGGTGTTGGGGGGGAAGGGGAGGGGGAGTTGAGGAGAAGGTGAGAAACGCTTTCAGGAGAAAAGACCGTAAATTTAACACCATCCCCTGCACGAGGCAGAGGCAGGCAGCCCATCTTTAAGAAAAGGTAATGGAGAAAGCCGTGTAGAAATGGGTGGAGGTGTCTGTGACAGGAGTGGAGATGGAGGCTGTGCCAGTAAGGAGGCAGAGGAAATAAACAAGGCCCAGGTAAAGGAAGGAGTGATTTGGGAAAGCAGGCGTCGGGGTCATAAAAAACTAGGAGATGTGCTCTGACCTGCGGGTCTTCATATCTTTTACATTTCTAATTAAAAGAGATAAAGAGTGAGGGAGCCATCAATCCCACAGTGATTTCCCAGTTAAGGTTTTAGAGGGAGCTGTAAACTAGGCAGCCCGGCATCATTGATTTTATAATTAGCTATCGTCACCCCGGACTTAAGGTGGGGGTGGTGGTGGAGGAGAAGAAGAGGGAGAGCTTCAAAAGGGAATCAGGAGAGTGAGTGAGTGAGTGAGTGGGGTGAGGATGAGGATGAGGAGGAGGTGAGGCCTGAGGGAGGTGCTGTAGAAGATCCAAAGGTGAGCAGATAGAAAAATCTAATATAAGGGATGAATCTGAATCAGCCAAAGGTGATCCGTGGTTGAGTACAGTAGCTGGGGAAAAAAAAAAGTAACGGCGTCATCAGTTATCAGTGAAATGTCAGGTGAAGATCAAAATACTGCAGTAATCTTCGGCCGAAAAATGACACGTTAGAACCAATACTGGATACATGAACCATTTTATTAAAGTGGACCTCAACACACATCTGGTTACATGACTGATGAGGAAATCAACGTTGGTGTACACGTAGGATAAACCGTCACACAGAAAACTTCAAAACAAACCGTATAACCACCGCAGCTTTATTGCACGGTGAGACAGTGTCCTGAGGAGCAGCGCCTCCTCTGGAGCTCTCAGTGGAGCTACGACAAAACAAACATCCTTCTCAGGCAACAAAAAAAAACAAGAAAAAAAAACTGATGAACACAGGAGTCAGACTGTATGAGAGAAATGGACCCACAAAGAAAGACAAACACACAGTAGAGGACAACATTTTTATAAAATATAAAGTATTTTCTTACGCCTTTAAGCTTGTAATATTTATTAACTTCTGCGTGCAGAAACAAAATGTTTTTTTTACAAAGCTTAAACATTTCTGTGTTGAAGTTATTACCCTAATAGTAGTGTATATTCTTTTGCTGAGTATTACATTGTTGTGCTTTGGGGTATTTTTATGCAAGTTTACAAGTATTCCACTCTCTTCTTAATCTGTGAGTCACTCAAGCTGCTTCAGATTTGTTGGTTTATGATGTCACCTTGGAGTTTGGATTTATGGCCAAGTCAAAAAGATCTAAGACAGTTTTGCAAACTACATTTCCATCAGTAAATTCCTTCTTTGTAGAATTCTGAGGAGTGTCTTTCTCACCACCTGCTGCTTTGCGTAGCCTACGACTGAAATCGTATTTTCCCGAAATCAAAATCTGTTGCAAAAATTCAATAATTTTAAACTTTTTTCTGTAGTTTGGTTAAAAGTCTGATTTTGTTGTCATTGTAGAACTGGACTGAGGGCTGAAGAGAACAACCACCTCCATTTCTTTGACAGTCTACGAGATGGATGTCAATCAGAAATCCAAGGAACGGCGAGTAACTGAGAGGTGAGACAAACATTTACTGCCTCCACATTCATCACTCTTCACCGCCTGAGCTCTTTAACAACATTAAAACCTGTTTTTCCCTGGCTGATTTAAACCCAGCACCTTGATAGCATTCCCTTCATTAGCACTGGCATCTTGAAGCAATACAAGCCCAATATTAAATCTTGAGTGTTTAAAAGCAAAGAATAAAAAATGGCGCTGATAAAATATCTGTAAACTCACGCACACACGCATGAGTTTTACGATTAAGATAAAAAACCCATCTGACATATTTTTAGGTATCCGTATATCACAATTTTATCTAAAACTCTGCTCTAGTAAAAAATCAGGTGCAAAAAACAGCAGGTAGAGTTGAGGATCAAAGTGTCGCGAGCGAATGTTAAATTGTTTATCACACATTGCACAGAGGCGATGAGAAATCATCTCAACTAAAGCAGAATAACTCCACTAGATTAAACACAAAAATTCATGAAAAATTAGCATTGACTACGAGTGTTGGTTAAAATGCTGAGTTAAAAACATGTCGTGATGTAGTGAAAAACCTAGAAATGTTTTCCTTTTCAGGCACAATGTGCAGAGCGGCAGAGAGAGACGTCTGACACTAAAGATGCAACCCATATAATATATAGGTATTAAAAATATGTTGCTGAGAATCCAAATGACCTGTCAGTAGAGGAGCATTTCACTTGGATAGTTTTGAAACGCAGAACGTGGGGTCATTAATTGAGGAGTAAAAACTGCATCTGATCTACAGCCGATGGCATGTTAGCGTTAATTTTTATCATAAAGATGACACCAAGTCACTCAAGTGGAAAGTTGCATCCGGCATCTAGCTTGATGGACTTTAAACACAATCTGTTCCGTAAGCTCTCTATTTTAGAACGCCCGTCTATTTTAAAGCACCTCCGTATCACTAAATCTGCTAAACTGCCACTGCATGACAATTAACGGCTAATGCCTACAAGAAAGTGCATATCAAATCTTAGTTCTGAGTAAATGGGGGAGAAATATGATGTCATAGACCCACATTACCGCAATATAATTTTAGCATGATGCTGTATCATTACTTTATGCCGCCGTGAATAGCGCTCAAAGCTGCTGCTGAGAATTTAATGCCGGATGAGAGTTTTGCCATGATTTTCAGTGGAGCCCGGCTCGCACAAAACATAATTACAGTGCCTGTCATGACTCCTAATCACAAATGTCATAAAAACGACATAACATCCGTCGTAAAGCTCTCGACATAGCAATGATTCAACAGAAATCGTTCTGCTACAGCCCGTGAACTCTCAAACGCTCCAGCCCGTGCCTAAAAGCCCGTTGCTTCAAACTATGCAACAGTCTTATGTCAGTCATAAACACGGTGTTGACCTGTCACCACATGCATTATGTCATTACTAAAGAAGACAAACCATTTATGAGGGGGGAAAAACAAGGTTCACGGCAAATCACATATCAATTGCATATTAAAACTGTGTGATAAAGCCAGATGTCTGTGTGCTCGTACGTGGAAGTCATTTGGATATAACATGGACCCGCGGGAAGCCTCCCCGTCTCGGCGGCCACAGCTGGACCCTCCACCAGTTACCAGAGAGCGGTGTCGGCCAGATCACTGGAATGGGGGACACAAAACAGAGCGAGCAAGTGAGGAAAGGAGAAAAAACTTAAAAGAAACACACATTGTGGCTGAAAGAGGAGGATAGACTAAAGGAGTGAGTAAGTGGGAGCGCGAGAGCTTTAATGACGCTGAAAATTGGCCCGTGACTGTGGTACACCCCTCAGGTAAATCATTGCTACGGCCTGCTGTCAACTTATCTGTCCCCTTGTCCTCCCACCGCCCCTCCCACGCCCTGACTCTGTTTCAGGCTGCCCCCACCCCCCCCCCCCCCCCCCCCCCCCTCTCCCTGGATCTGTCCGCTTGGCCACAGTGACAGAGTCCCAGCCTACTGCACTGCTTTGCTCTGCCC